TTTTAGACCACCGAAAATTAAAATGCGTTTTTTAGGCGTTAGAAACGTTTAAAGGCCTTAAAATGCCTTTTTAAAAAACAGAAAATTAAAATGCGTTTTTTAGGCGTTAGAAGCGTTTAAAGGCCTTAAAATGCCTTTTTAAAAAACAAAAAATTAAAATGCGTTTTTTAGGCGTTAGAAGCGTTTAAAGGCCTTAAAATGCCCTTTTAAAAAACAGAAAATTAAAATGCGTTTTTTAGGCGTTAGAAGCGTTTAAAGGCCTTAAAATGCCTTTTTAAAAAACAGAAAATTAAAATGCGTTTTTTAGGCGTTAGAAGCGTTTAAAGGCCTTAAAATGCCTTTTTAAAAAACAGAAAATTAAAATGCGTTTTTTAGGCGTTAGAAGCGTTTAAAGGCCTTAAAATGCCTTTTTAAAAAACAGAAAATTAAAATGCGTTTTTTAGGCGTTAGAAGCGTTTAAAGGCCTTAAAATGCCTTTTTAAAAAACAGAAAATTAAAATGCGTTTTTTAGGCGTTAGAAGCGTTTAAAGGCCTTAAAATGCCTTTTTAGACCACCGAAAATTAAAATGCGTTTTTTAGGCGTTAGAAGCGTTTAAAGGCCTTAAAATGCCTTTTTAAAAAACAGAAAATTAAAATGCGTTCTTAGGCGTTAGAAGCGTTTAAAGGCCTTAAAATGCCTTTAAAGGCCTTAAAATGCCTTTTTAAAAAACAGAAAATTAAAATGCGTTTTTTAGGCGTTAGAAGCGTTTAAAGGCCTTAAAATGCCTTTTTAAAAAACAGAAAATTAAAATGCGTTTTTTAGGCGTTAGAAGCGTTTAAAGGCCTTAAAATGCCTTTTTAAAAAACAGAAAATTAAAATGCGTTTTTTAGGCGTTAGAAGCGTTTAAAGGCCTTAAAATGCCTTTTTAAAAAACAGAAAATTAAAATGCGTTTTTTAGGCGTTAGAAGCGTTTAAAGGCCTTAAAATGCCCTTTTAAAAAACAGAAAATTAAAATGCGTTTTTTAGGCGTTAGAAGCGTTTAAAGGCCTTAAAATGCCTTTTTAAAAAACAGAAAATTAAAATGCGTTTTTAGGCGTTAGAAGCGTTTAAAGGCCTTAAAATGCCTTTTTAAAAAATGCCTTTTTAAAAAACAAAAAATTAAAATGCGTTTTTTAGGCGTTAGAAGCGTTTAAAGGCCTTAAAATGCCTTTTAAAAACAGAAAATTAAAATGCGTTTTTTAGGCGTTAGAAGCGTTTAAAGGCCTTAAAATGCCTTTTTAGACCACCGAAAATTAAAATGCGTTTTTTAGGCGTTAGAAGCGTTTAAAGGCCTTAAAATGCCTTTTTAGACCACCGAAAATTAAAATGCGTTTTTTAGGCGTTAGAAGCGTTTAAAGGCCTTAAAATGCCTTTTTAAAAAACAAAAAATTAAAATGCGTTTTTTAGGCGTTAGAAGCGTTTAAAGGCCTTAAAATGCCTTTTTAAAAAACAGAAAATTAAAATGCGTTTTTAGGCGTTAGAAGCGTTTAAAGGCCTTAAAATGCCTTTTTAGACCACAGAAAATTAAAATGCGTTTAAAGGCCTTAAAATGCCTTTTTAGACCACAGAAAATTAAAATGCGTTTTTTAGGCGTTAGAAGCGTTTAAAGGCCTTAAAATGCCTTTTTAAAAAACAGAAAATTAAAATGCGTTTTTTAGGCGTTAGAAGCGTTTAAAGGCCTTAAAATGCCTTTTTAAAAAAACAAAAAATTAAAATGCGTTTTTTAGGCGTTAGAAGCGTTTAAAGGCCTTAAAATGCCCTTTTAAAAAACAGAAAATTAAAATGCGTTTTTTAGGCGTTAGAAGCGTTTAAAGGCCTTAAAATGCCTTTTTAAAAAACAGAAAATTAAAATGCGTTTTTTAGGCGTTAGAAGCGTTTAAAGGCCTTAAAATGCCTTTTTAGACCACCGAAAATTAAAATGCGTTTTTTAGGCGTTAGAAGCGTTTAAAGGCCTTAAAATGCCTTTTTAGACCACCGAAAATTAAAATGCGTTTTTTAGGCGTTAGAAGCGTTTAAAGGCCTTAAAATGCCTTTTTAGACCACCGAAAATTAAAATGCGTTTTTTAGGCGTTAGAAGCGTTTAAAGGCCTTAAAATGCCTTTTTAAAAAACAGAAAATTAAAGTGCGTTTTTTAGGCGTTAGAAGCGTTTAAAATGCCTTTTTAGACCACCGAAAATTAAAATGCGTTTTTTAGGCGTTAGAAGCGTTTAAAGGCCTTAAAATGCCTTTTTAAAAAACAGAAAATTAAAATGCGTTTTTTAGGCGTTAGAAGCGTTTAAAGGCCTTAAAATTAAAATGCGTTTTTTAGGCGTTAGAAGCGTTTAAAAGGCTTAGAAAGCCTTTTTAAAAAACAGAAAATTAAAATGCGTTTTTTAAATGCCTTTTTAGACCACCGAAAATTAAAATGCGTTTTTTAGGCGTTAGAAGCGTTTAAAGGCCTTAAAATGCCTTTTTAAAAAACAGAAAAAATGCGTTTTTTAGGCGTTAGAAGCGTTTAAAGGCCTTAAAATGCCTTTTTAGACCACCGAAAATTAAAATGCGTTTTTTAGGCGTTAGAAGCGTTTAAAGGCCTTAAAATGCCTTTTTAAAAAACAGAAAATTAAAATGCGTTTTTTAGGCGTTAGAAGCGTTTAAAGGCCTTAAAGTTTATTGTACACCACATAAACAATAGGTGTCTGATCGAGATTAAATTTTAAACAGTGCAGCATACGGAAGAGAGTGTGTCAAGTTGGCTTTTAATCGATTTACACAAATCTGTCCCACTGTGCGCAAACGACTCTAAACTTGCCCAAATGAAATGAAATTTAGCATAGATTCCATAAAGACATAAAAACCACATATTTAAGTTCGTTCAATTTCATGTCAAAATTCCTTTTCGGATACATATGTAGAATATACCCAAAGTGGTGAAGGGTATCATATAGTCGGCCCAGTCCGACTTTACTTCTTTCCTTACTGGTTTTTAAATATACGTTTTCCATCTTTATACTTTTACTCAAAGCTAAATTGTACTAAACTTAGTACCATTTAGTACACATAATTACGCATTTTCAAAACCAACTCCATGTCTCATCCTACAATCTAATCCCTAATTTTAATTCCAAATTTTATGATTTCCGCTCACAGACCTTAATTCTGTAATTTTCCTTCCATCTCCATCCGTTAATTCTAATCCAAATTGTACAAAATTTTGTACCATTTAGTACACATAATGTCAAATTTTCCAAACTACTGACTTGTCTCAATCCTACACTCTAACTGTAGTACTAATTCAAAATTTCAGAATCACAGCTCTATCCGTTCACGCACAAAAATAATTTTGCAAACTATTTGGTACCATTTAGTACTTTTTGTTTCTATAATTAAGAATTTCCTAAACTACCTCAATCCTACACTTTAACAGGAATTTTAATTCAAAAATTCTGGAGTCCAGCTCTATCCGTTCTCAAATAATCAAGGTGTACCAAATATAGTACAATTTAGTACACATAAGTACTATGCTTCCATATCTCAATTCTATATTCCAACAGCAACCATTATTCCAAAATTTTAGGTTTCCAGCTCTCTACGTTCACCCAAATCCTAATTGTATTAAATCTAGTGCCGTTTAGTACTTTTCGTACACATAAATAAGAATTTGCAAAGATGTCTCTATAGCTCAATCTTCAACAGTAATCTTAATTTCAAATTTCAGGATTGTACTAAATTTGGTACCATATAGTACTTTTCGTACCAATAAGTAATTACCTCAATCCTACATTCAACAGTCATTTTTTTCACAATTTGAAGGCTCCAGCTCTATCTGTTCACGTAATTCCAACATGCACCAAATTTAGTACTATTTAGTACTTTTCGTACACATAAGTACGATTTTTGAAAGCTAATTCAATCTTGTGCTCCAATAGTTGTCCTGATTCCGATTTTCCAAATTCCATCTCTATACACTCAACTAAATGCAAATAGTACCAAATTTAGTACCATTTTGTACTTTTTATAACATAAGTACGAATTTTTTAAAGCATTTCCATATATCAACACCACTTCCCAACCTGTATTCCATATAAAATTTCAAGATTATAGCTATATATGTTCAATATTTTCAATATATATAAAATTAGAACTAAATTTAGTAATTTTTAGTACTTTTAGTACACTAATAGGTCGGTTCCAAAAACCCTTTTGTACATTTTTCTAACTTTCCATCAGTGACCCACATTTCAAATTTCAGAATTCTAGCTCTTCCCGTTCGCCTAATACATAAGGTACCATTTTTGGTACATTTTAGTACTTTTCGTACCGTTCTAGTTCGAATTTCCAAAAACCTAGCCTTATCTCACGCCTACACACCAACAACAACCCACACTCAAAATTTCAAGCTTCTAGCTTTTGCCGTTTCGTCTGGGCGATGATCTGTCAGTCAGTCACTCACTCACTCACTTAACACTAAGCTCTTTTATATATATAGATTATTATTTTATAAAAATTTAAAAAAAATAAATAAAATATTTGAGAACTATTTGTTTTTATTCGTAATACTGTGTTGGTTGTTCTAAATCTTGGTCTAAAAACCACTTGTTCCAATAAATAAATACAACTCTGTTATGAATGAATGTCAATTGACAAAGCGAACAGCTGACATTTGTTTATCATAACATCTGACACCGCACAGCAGAATATAAAACATTCAATTTTCAATCCAATCGTAAACAAAAAAATTAGTCGTGTATTTTATTAAATAAAATAATTACAAGGGATCGAAAACTGTTATGATTATTTGACCATGTGGATAATATATGCTGTAGTTCTACACATCCTTCTGCTCGGTTCAATTTTTGTAATATATTTTCGTTCTCCGGTCATAACAAATCTAAAGCCACAACCACAACTGCCGTTGGAGGCACCAGCAAAACGTTTAGTACTCTTTGTTACCGATGGTCTGCGAGCGGAATCATTTTTCCACGAACAATGTAAACATATACCACACTTGAAGATGTTGATTAAGCAGGTGGAGGCAAATGGTGTCGTCGGTATATCCCATACACGTGTACCCACCGAATCTAGACCGGGTCATATTGCCCTTATTGCTGGACTCTATGAAGATCCGTCGGCCGTAACCCGAGGATGGAAAGAAAATCCCATAGAATTTGATACCGTGTTCAATCGCAGCCGTAAGACATATGCCTGGGGTGCCAATGATGTGCTGCACATCTTTGCACGTCTAACTAAAGATGATGAGCAGCGGCTATTTTTTGATTCCTATTCTCATGAATTGGATTTTTCGGGTAAAGAAAAAACATACGAGCTGGATCGTTGGGTATTCGAAAAGGTGGAAAAGTTTTTGGCACGTAAATCTGAAGATTTGAGGAGGGAGGAAAAAGTGGTGTATTTTTTGCATTTATTGGGTTTGGATACGGCGGGTCATGTACACAAACCTGGTACGGAATTGTTTTTGGAAAATCTTCTCTATACCCAGGAGGGTATAACGAAAATGTACGAATTATTTGAATCGACTTTCAGGGATGGTAAAACAGCGTACGTTTTGACTTCAGATCATGGCATGACAAATGCGGGTAAGTGGAACGGTATATGATGTTATTTTAAACCTGAATTTTAATCAGATAGATAAGATATATAAGATAGATAATCTAATAGATGAATATGACCACTATCCTAAAACCATATTATGATCGAAATAATCGAATACAGGACATTTGGAATTGTTTCCTTTACGTCTGCAGAGACTCCCTTCAGCTCGTCTCGGAAGGGAAAGAAGTCTCTATTGACAAGAGGAAGGAAACCTTTACCCTTCTAATCGACTATAAAGACTACTTTCCGCATAGAAAATCAATTTTCTTCAGCTCGTCCCTATAATAAATCTAAATATAATTTTAAACAAATAAATTTTAAAATTTCTTCCTTTTCCAGGTTCCCATGGTGCTGGTGAAAGATTTGAAACGGAAACTCCTTTCTTTATATGGGGAGCTGGCATCAATTCCAAACCTTTTGCAACTGCAGAAACCTTCCAACTAGATATGGAAATTAAGCGACCACTATATCGTCTGGAACAAGCACAAATAGCGCCATTGATGTCAGCCCTATTGGGTATTGGTGTACCAATGAATAATTTTGGTATTTTACCCAAAGGCTATATTAATTCCTCGCAAGAATATAATGCCTTGGCTGCGGAAAATAATGCCCATCAATTGTTGGAACAATATCAAGCCTTGCTGCGACAACACAAAGAAGGCTATCTCACCGAATTTCTACCAAAATTCCAAGAAGACATACAAGGCATAAAATTCACCATACGTAATCACATCGAAAAGAAGAAATTCAACTTGGCTCTGGAGGAAAGTTATACATTAATGGAGGCAGCCTTAAAGGGCATTGAATATTATTTCGGTTATTATCGTTGGCCATTGTTGGTGGCAACCACTGCCACTTTTATAGGTTTCATAGGAATTTTATTGAAATTGTTATTGAGCAACGATGGCAGTAATACATCATCGAAATGGTCTTTACGACAATTACCGCATAGAAATCGCCTATTGGTAATTGGTATAGGCTTGTTGATCCTAAGCTTCTGTTTGCTACAACAATTGCCAATTACAATTAGCCTATATTTACTTCTGCCCACCGTTGTGTGGTATTATTTTGTAACAGCGGTGACAGCAGGTTCACAAAATCTTAACAAATTGCTGAATATTAAACAGTTGTTAGTACTTCTAGCTTCCTCTGAACTCTTGGTTTATAGTTTCTTTGATAGACGGGCTATTTCCTTGGGATTCCTTTTATTCACCTTATACGAAAAATTAAATCGGAATTCACTGACTAATAATAAACTGAAATTTGTTGTAAGTCTATGTCTAAGTTTTATCCTAATAGTATTTCCCCTATTACCCAATTCGGTGGGCTATTCCCATGATTTGTTATTGTATTTGGGAATCGCCTTAACCATTCTACGTTCATTGCTAGTCAAAGTTCCCGTTAATTTAAGTGATCGCATTGTTGCCTTGCTGGCATTAGTCAATGGCTGTCTTTGCATTTATAGACATTCCAAGCAATATGGCCTGCTTTTAGTTTCCCAAATATTATCTTGGTCATTCCTAGTCTATATCGTAATTGTCCTCATAAGACCCTCCAAGCTTTCGCTTAAACAAAAATTAGAACGTTTAATATTTTTATTGACCGCCTTGTATTGCCTTTTTTGTACCTCCTACGAAGCAGTATTTATTTTACTACTAATTACAGAACTACTGTCCTCGGTTGATGGTGAAACTAAGGTTTACCACAATCTGGTGAGTCCCAGTTCATCTTCGTCACAGCATATTTCACAATGTTTCCGTTATGCCTTCATAATGCTACTCTACACGTTCTTTTCGTTTTTCGGCACGGGCAACATAGCCTCAATCAGTTCCTTTGATCCCAACATTATACGTTGCTTCCTCACAACCTTTTCACCATTTGTTATAATGTTTTTGGTAATATTGAAACTTATTATCCCACTGCTACTGATTATGTCCATAATATTGACTTTGTCACCATTCGCCTTACGCTATGAGCGGCAAATTTTCATTTGCCTTCTAATCTTGTGTGATATTATGGGTCTGAATTTTCTGTTTTTGGTTAAAAATCAAGGGTCATGGCTGGAGATTGGCTCGTCTATATCACATTTTGTTATAATGCAAGTAACCACATTGGTTCTGATTGTTTTTGTTTATATCTCTAAGTTGATTTTGAAAATTCAAACACCAAGTAAAGTCAATTTGGGTAGTAGTTTGAATAAAATTAATTAAATTGTTTTTTTTTAATATGAGTATTATAAATTATATTTGAAAACATGACAAAATAAATGCAATTAAATTAAAAATTAAAAAACAAATCATTTCTTAATTACTAGAAAACGCGTCTTAAATTGAAATGTAGAAGAAAGTTTTTTTTTTTAGGGCGAGAATATGTTCGTATGATCAACTATAAATCTGATAAAGCAAATATTTCCTTTGAGGATATTTCAATATATGCATGACTTCAAATGATAAATTTTTGCCATTTACACGGAAAATGCAACGTAGACCTTTAAAATACCGGTATTGAATATTTTTGAGAGGAGTATTTTACATTTAAAAGACTTCCTTCAGCACATTATAGAGACTACAATCAAATAATCTGTAGCTTGTCTCTACAGGTTCTTCCTTCAGATCATTTATTGACTACTTAACCTTTTAGTTCTCTTAAGAAAACTTTTCAGCTCTTTAGCAACTCTACTAAGCACGTCTATAGGAAGAACTTTCCCTTTTCCTAATATAGAATATTTTTAGCGAATATATCGATACCCTTCACCTCATTTATGAACACTGCTTTCAGCACACCTCATCTATAGAGACTCCAATCAGATGATCTATAGTTCGTCTATAAGTTCGTCTTTAACAACTTACTTCTTTAGTTTCGTCTTTAAGAACTTACTTCAGATCACTTATTGACTAATTGAATATGGGCATTAGATTCCTATAAAAATAAGAAAAATCTATCTACATGACAGAATCTCCTTTTAAATAGCATTTTTTTTTCTTTTTTTTTTTTTTGGTGGCCGGACTTCGGCCAGGATTTTAAGACTTTCGCCTAGGGACAGATACATACACCGGCTACGCGACAGAAACTCCTTTTAAATAATTTTTTTTTAACAGGCCTTCGGAGATTTAAGACTATCCTATGGTCAGATACCAACATTGGCTACGCGACATAATCTCTTGTTAAATAGAATAGTTTTTTTGGGTGACCAGGGCCCAAGGGACTACCAGGGCTCAGAGGACTACCTATATATTGACGATATTTCTGAACGATCCGCGACCATAACCTTAACATGACTTGCTCCTGATGTTTCATCTATTAAAATCATACTCCTAAACATTCGCAGACCCGAAAATCTTTGAAAGGATCAAAGTCACCATATCTATATAATAATATAATGGATTATATATTCAATTATAAAAGAGTATTTTAATACATATCACTTACCTGACTTACGGTTCAATATCTTCAGATAATTTTTGGAAAAACAATGGAGAGTTCCTTCACATTTTTATTACGTGAATATTATAGCTAATGTTCTCAACATAATAAATGCACAAAATTTCTTTAAAATAATATCACAATTTTAGAACACTATCGAAAAAATAATTGAAATACTTTCACAACGCTTGAATCAATCACTCTATTCTTGATAATTCATGATTTTTGAACAAAACCAACGGTAGTTTGACGTAATCATGAAATTGTTGTGTTTACAAAGGTGGTTCAGAGTGCATAATATTTATGTTTGAAACACAAAACAGTGATGTCAATGTCGTGTAATTGATCAACGAATAGAGATCATCGGAGTTTGCGGATGTTGTGCTGCCCCCGTTTTTAATTGAAAACCCAAATGTTTTTTTTTGTTCTTTGACTACTTGATATTTTATTTGTAAAATAATACAATGTTTATAATTGATAAATAAATATGTAATTGATTTAGGTATTTTTTGAATAACAGCAATCTGGAAACTGAAAATTATAGTTTCAGAAACTACAAAAAAATACAGATATCTAGACATAAATGATGTGTTATAGTGAAATTGCTAGGAACTAGTTTGAGGTTATGTCTCCTTGTTAGCAGATCTAAAACAAAATGTTGTTTATAACAAACTTATCGATATTCGGAACAAATATATCCAAATGATAGCAAAACTGTGTATACTCCTATTTCAGCAGTGTTTTCCATCGATAATTTTCTATTCTAATGGAAATTTTGGTCGTGCCTACAAACAAACTAAAACCTAACCTAAAACGTGTAAAAGTATTTCTTTTGCAAAAATATAACAATTTTCAGTTCTTGGGTAAATTTTCAGTAATTCTTTCCAGCGGCGAGGTTTTACGATTATTTTTCATTTTCTGCTCTTGTTCTTCATTTAACATTATTGTCATTTGTTCGCTTTCGCGTAGCAATGCCTTTGCCTCTTCCATTTCACGTTGTTTTTGTAGTTGGCGAAATTCTGTTGGCGTCAACATACCCCGCAAAATGGTATCATAGGTTATGTTAACACCTTTGGCTGACATTTTTTGAAAAAGTTTCCAACATTCACGTTCTTTAATACTGCGAACATAATCCGGATATTGATATAGGGATTCTTCTTCCAAATCATTTGATTTTTTGAGGTTAGGTGTTGAATTTTGATTATTTATGTTGGCATTATTTTTGTTTTCATCAGCTGGATTATTATCATCTGTGTCCCTGTCGTCATTCATATTCTTCGAGGAGGATTTATTGGTCGTGTTGTTGTTGCTGGTGGTGGTTGTATGAAAAATGGACCCAGGCGGTGCTGTCGGTGGTCGATTTGATTTAATACGTGCTGCCAATGGAGCTATGGAACCCCGTCGTAGCATATGTGAATATTCCTTGGAGGCAAACTGAAATGTTGGCGGGTAGTTTTCCTGAAATGATACTGAAATATAGACATTTTATTAATATAGAAACATTTAAATAAAAAAATATTTTGTAAACCTAAAATTTCTACGCCTTGTAGGGCCTCGGAAAAAAATCTCTAGGCTTTGTTGGGCCTTGGAAAAAAATATTTAAAAAATCTACGTCTTGTTGGGACTTGAGAAAAAAATACTTAAAAAATTCTTCGCCTTGTTGAGACTTGGGAAAAAATATTTAAAAACTCCACGCTTAGTTTAGGGTTCCCAGTTCCTTCTTTTGTATTACTTACCTGATTTCCCCGCCTTGCGTAGTGAAGGCGCCCTTCTTGTTGGACTATTCGAATCCGAATTACTGGGTGTCGAGGAGCAACAATCTTCTTTCTCGGAATCCGAACCCTCTGAACTTATGAGCGATACCAATGTGATAACATCCGGTGCCACGGATCTTGAACGTTGTAAAATTTTCTTATTCGCCTTTGAATCGAAATTCAAATTATTCACATTTGTCGACGTGGGCGATGATAAGTCACGATCACAGGTTATGGTGCGAGCATTCAATTTTCGACGTCTTGATTTACGTTTATTATTTGCCAAAAATGAACTTTTGGAATTATCATCAATACTGCGGACAGGAGCCGACATAGCACGTACCAGCGGTGGTCGTTTCTGTACAATTAAAGCTGGTGAAATTTGCGGTACGTTAACGTCCTGTGGGGGTGTCTGCGAACCACTGGAAATATTTATTTGATTGTTTAGTTTACTCGAATGATAGAGGGCTCTTCGTTGTGGTGCCGCCAGGGAAGTGACGGAATCTTTGGATAAATTTGTTTGGGTATTCTATACGAAGGAAGAGAGAGATACCATTATTTCGAACAAATATTAATTGAATTTAAATAACCTCAAATTGTTCACTTTCTATTGACAAATCCTCACTGTCTTCACCATCACCCGCATCACACAGAATATAATCATTCTCTTTGCTTTCGTTCAGGGCATGTGACAGGACTATGCTTAAATTGACTTTATTTGTTTCAATCGTTTTCGATGGCACCACACTGGATGATGGGGTAGTCGCTGAAGTGGGTTTAATAACTCTGCTATTCGATGTTGTCACTTTCGCCGTTGTAGGTGGTCCAGTATCCGTTTTCACTTTGTTGGCGCTAAAATGAAATTGAACTTCTTCAACTTAGGTAATCTAAATATCTGGTCCTATACTAAGTCGCAACTTAGTTTGTCATCCTCATTGCAGTATCACATGTCATTTTAGTAACTGTGTCATGTCTGGCAAATGCAAATCAGGTAATAAAAGTACTTGTGTGATTATTATTTGCAAAAAAACTAAGTTATTATCTGCCCAACTTGACTTTATGAACGAATATTCTCTCAATGTCCCGCCTCTACTTTTTGAAGAGGTTTGCGTGGCGCCCAACAAACGAAACACTCGTCATTCACCATTGCTCAATGAATGGGTATTCCAATTCGAATATGATACCACCACCGGGTACGAAAGGAGTCGGGAGCGTTTAGGAGATGGATGTATGACATCAAAATATATTGATATTTATATGTATATTGGATATATATGTGTGTGTGTGACGACTGAAATGAAACCATGTCATATTGATTGGTTTAGATGGGCGAAATAAGTTTTCTGTTTTTTCTTGCTGTTTTTGTTCTTGTTTTTGGCAAATGACAATTTTGTTTTCAACAAACGTTTTTGGCGTTACAAAACAATCCCTGACATAAATATGACAAACGAAAATAATAAATATGTTAATTGAATACTAGGTCGATATGTAATGATGTATAAAAAAATATAAGTATATAAATAAAAAGTTAGGTTAGCTTGTTCGTGCATATCTTCTTAATGAAATAGCTGGTGTTCCAAGAAGAAAAATGTGCAAAAATATAGAGCATTTATTTCTTGCGAGATTCAATAAAACGAAAAATCAAATTTGCTATGTAGGGATCCACTCTTAACAGCTACAATTTCAACATCCAGAGATACGGGAAATGTTGCCTTTTCTGTAGAAAATTTCGAAGAAACAGCTATAAAACTCCTCTTCCTTTAATACAATATTTTCGATCACGTCTAAAGATTTTAAACTGATTACAAAGAATTTCAGTAACATATATGCCACTATGAAGCCCTGGTAGCTATATTAATAATATCTACAGCAGGCTCCATACTTAGTTTTGAACTGGAATTTGGTAAATATACGATATCTGTCTTTGCCACATCCCTATACACCTAAGTCTGTTTTTACACAGTCTTTTTGTACACGGGTACAACGGTTTGAAAATTGAATATTTTTTAAATTTAAAATTTTATGTACTTAAATTTTTTTGTCAAATTTAATTTTTGCGAATTATGTTCATATCACAAAAAAAGTACTTGTGAAAGAAAAAAGTCTAAAACCATCGATAGTTTGCGAACACTAGCTTAAAGATATAAGTGAATTCCCATTTAGTGCGTACAATTTTTACTGGTCAAAGCAAATGTGAATAGCACTAATTTAGGGGAATTCCCTTTATGTATAAGATCAATGTCTTTTTTTACACGGCTTCTTCTGGAACCAATCTACCGTGTAAAAACAGACTTAGGTGTATATATTCATGTATGATGACTTTAAGCGCCAACACTTTGGATTTACTATAATGTCGAAAATATTTTCCGGAACAATTATCTTAAACAAGGCTTTACTACGTTGTTCTGCATTTAAAGACTTTAATTTCAATATCGGAGTCTAACTTATTTTAAATGTATTCACTCATTTACTGGTTAGACTCAGAAACGATGTCCTTTTCTCAAAGTAGACTGTATAAAAAAAGATCCCTGTTTAACTAAATTCTATCTCCTTGACACTGATTATCGGTCTTATCATCTCTTTTTGACAGCCGTCTTCTGCTTTTTGGCAATTATTTTTTGTGGAGTGTATACAAAAAATAGCTCTGTTTCCCTCTCCTGGATCCTGCTTATTGGTCTTATCATATATTTTGGGTTGGTCATCCCCTGTGCCCGCCGGTTTCAATTTAATGAGAGGAACATTCGTAATTAACACCTTATGACTTCCTTTGGTTACCAGCTTAATCTTCCACTCTGCACCGTTATCCTTAAAATATTGCTCCTTATCGGATATATATCAACATTTGTTGACTGATCTCCCCTTCAAACTTTTGTGAAAAATATTCCTCTTTGGCTTCTGTGCTTTTTGTTAGTCTTTTAACTAAATTCCCTCTCCTTGACACTGCATGTTGGTCTCATCATATCCTTTTGACTGCTCAATGCCTGTGGCCGCCGACTTAATCTTCGTGGCAGGAATTTTCGTAATTAACCGCTTCTCTTTGTCTAAATTTCTCTGTACCGTTATACTTATCACAGTTTTCCTTTTGGGCAACATAATCATCATTTGTTGGCGGATCTCCCAACTGTGTTATTTGTCTGACCATCTCAACGTGTTCGCTATCAGCTGCAAGACGGACCTCGTTTAAAAGTTGATTTACCTCAACTTTTAGGAACCAGTCGCTTTAAAGCTTGCTATACGCGTTTTTTCCTCATTTCACGTCTTTATTTTTGTAACTCCGGGACATATTTATTAGAAACGGTTATTTCTATAACTCACCCGTTCACCAATCAATACATCCATTCATTGCGTGTTTCGATGTAAAATTCGACATGATTTCACTAATTCCGGAACATATTTGTTACAAAAAGATCTTTCTATAGCTAAAGCCACGTTCAAACTCTGTATTTTGTTATTCAAATTTTGAACCGTCATCCGTTCAGGAATCAACACGTGCAATGATTTCACTGTGTGGTTCTCACCAATTCGGACTGTTTTTGTTTTGTAGGTCATTTCTGTTCAGCCTCTTCATGCTGAACCTTAACCAATGGTCTTTAATTATGTTTAGAATATATCCGACCTTTATGTTCTTTGATCGTAGTCGCGCAATTTCACGCCTTGATTTCTCTAACTCCGGGACATATTAATTAGAAGAGATTCTTTCTATAGCTAAAGTATCGTTGAAACTCTTTATTTTCTTATTAAAATCTTAAATCGTCCTTGATTGCTGTCGATTTGAAGTAAATAACTATAAATAAATAAAAACTATATAAATAACTGAATATCGTTTAACTGGTATTAACTTAAATGATTGGCCCACTTAGCTACATACATTTGCAAACACTATCATAATTTCTATCCTGAAAGTCCAGACACATGCAATCTACAAATCTCTCTCGCATTACATTTCAAAACCTACCACTTATTTGAAATGTTATTCCTTGTTTTATCCGCTGCCACACCTTTCACTATATTATTGCGAACTTCCTTAGATTTGACCAGGACACCATTCAATTGAGCCAATTCCTTGTCCAACGATTTTAAAATCGACGAAGTCGATGACCATGCTTGAACACTACGTGTGGGTGGCCTCTCAAATTGACCACAGGAATTAATATTTCTCTTTATTAAATCATCATTGCGTAAAAGTTTTGACGATGAAATTTTAGCGCCGGCACCAACAAAAGCCGAATGTTTCCGTAAGATATTACGATTTTGTAAATATTGAATATCTTTTGATCTGCCTACCGAAAGACCTCGCGATAGCTGGGGCCGACCAGTGGCTGAGGTTTCTATAAAAGATCGTTGTTTGCGTACCGCTTGATGTCCGAATTGCGACTGAGAATAATCGTGCGACAAATGTTGCTGTGAACTCCAATGAGTGCTACGTAGTGACGACGAAGACATCGACATCGTCGTCTTATCGCGTCGATGATGATTTGCAAGGGTTAAAGACATATTAATTGACACAAATCACTAATTGGTACCGACAAGGTTTAATTGCAAATCAATTCTGTTTTACTTGTCTGAAGATATGGTGATTTTCTTTTTAGAATGTTGAAGTATTACTGGTGCTGATTTAAATTCAATTTCCATTGCTTTTTTATTAACCAATCACCAACGTTGTCTTGCTGGCTTTTTTATGTTTGTTTTTTGATAATCAATACATTTCTAGTAGTAATTTATTATATATCCCGTCTTATTTTGTTCTTTCCTTAAATTGGTTGCTCTTTCTAACGCTGCAAAATTGTCACGTTGTCGCGACTTCACGTGCCACGCTCAAACTGTTTTTGTGAATGAAATGTTTGCAAGTTGTGAGCTTGGGATTCGTTTTGTTTACACCACCTGCACACGCATACATGCACATAATGGTTCTATATATTCTTTGAATATAACTCCAAACACCCCCACACACACACCAATACTTGCAAATAATTACTCCCTCACTCTCCAGAGTGCATATGTGTTTGGGTCTCCTGGTAACAGTGAATGGCCGTGCTTCAACATTATTTACTCTCACTTTGACAATATCTCTACCCGCCGCCGTCGGTAAAATGACTATGAAACATGCTGTTGTTATTATTTACCTATAGTATAATTACATACTATATAAAAAAACAAAATTCGTGCCGAAACCAATTTTAAGTACTTCGTTTCGTTTGCCAAAGGTAAATAGTTCATAACCCCATCATCTGGGGTTCATTGGCTGATTTCTTGAGTTTTTTCGTGAATTCGCAATTATGATGGAGATGTTTTGTAATAAAATGTTCTTATGGAGAATGGTCATAAATGTAAATAAATTTCGTAAAAATTGAGTAGAGAATATCCTCAGGGCTTGCC